CTGCAGCCTGCAGGCCACGTCCGGCCCAGCCTGCTCCCATGGCGCGGCTGCGTGGGCACGGCTGCGTGGACGTCCGTCCATCCGTCCGTCCACGTACTGGCCCCTGACGCCTCGGCGCTACAGCGGCAGAGCCCGGCGGTCGCTGGAGGGAACTTGCGGCCCCCAAAGCTGAAAATCGGTGCTGCCTGCCCCTTAGGGAGACCCTTACTACGAACACACAGAGGAGCTGCGGCCGACTGCAAATGCATGGAGAAACCGTCGTCGTTTGTTAAAATTGAGACCTTAAAATTTGTACCCCCATAATAGGCCGAAATAAAAATAAATAAATAAATAAATGTCAAAAAAAAAAATGTCACACGAGATGACTTGAAATAACCTCAGTAAAAGGAATGGTTGGCACCTACGTAGAGCACCTTTACCTTGAGCAACTTTGCGGGAAAGACTTGGACAAACACAAAGATGCGGGAAAGGCGGTGGAGAGCTGGCGTTGTGAGATATTTCCTTTGCAAATTGATTCTCAGGTTTAATAAAACTCCAGTTCCATTTCCAGTGAATTCTGGGGGCTTTCCAAAATGGGTTCGAATTTTATCTCGGAGCGTCGTCCGTTCGGGTGTCGGAGGAGACCCTGTAACTAACGCGGGCGCCCTGGACCCGCACGCAGGTGCAGCAAGCAGGTGCGTGGACGGCAGTCGCGGAGCCCGCCGGCAGGGTGGTGGGCGGGCGGGTTGGGAGCGGCTCCACCTGGGTTCGGGGCCACCTGCCTGCCCGGAGCTTCGGTCCTGCCGTGTGTCCCACTCAGGAGTTAACACGAGGACAGTGTTTGACAGAGTCCCAGGCGTGTCATTAAAAGAGCTGGTAACATGTTAGCTCTTAGTTTTCCTGACCCGTGGAAAACACCGGGTGGCCCTGAAATGAACCAGGGTTCGTGAGAACCGAGTGCGAGGTGCAGTGAGCCTTTCCAACCAGTGAGGAAGGGCCATGTCCCCAGCGGCAGGGGCTAGGAGAGTTGGCTTTGCGTTTGGGAAAAAATTCAAGGTGGCTCCTTACGCCCACCTTCCATCTGCCCTGCTGGGCGAGGACCGTGCTGGGAGCGTCAGAGCTGCGTGTTCCCGCTGCCCTGTGCTCGGTCCCGAGAGTCCTGGTCTGAAGACACTTCTCCAGGGCTCCCCCTGGTCTCCAGGCCCCCCCGACTGGGGGAGCCCAGGTGTGTGCTGGGGGCAGGCCCAGGCGTGGCCAGTGGTGGCAGGGCCCGGGATTGTCACGCCGGGCGAGCGGAGGCAGGGCTGTGCCCCCCTGCTCTGGGGGAAGCGTGGTCTCGCCGCAGATGTTCTGCATTCTTGTTTGACTCGAAGCCTGGTTGGTGATGAAAACACCTGTGCAGCCTGGAAGCGCCGGAGGCAAGTGGCAGCCATCCCTGAATCCCTTTTTAACAAGCCAGGAACCTTCTCGGGGCTGGTTATGTCCTGCCCCCCGAATGCCAGCCAAGCGCAGGACAGCTGGGCGCATCACTGGGGACTTGGGGGGGGTTGGCAGAGGATGGGGTCCACCTGCAGCTGCTGCCCGCCCCAGCTGCCCAGCCTAGTGACTGATGGGCGCTCCGTCAGAGCCGGGCCCCGGCGCCCGCCGTGAGTGCCCCCTGCCCTCTGCCCCAGACACCAGCCGAGGGCAGGAAGCCCCGCAGTGCTGGCCCCTGTCATCGACCGCCCGCCGGCCCCTTGCACAGAATGCTGGCGCCCCTGCAGCCAGGGTGCTCTGCCACTGTCACACGGTGGCCCCGTGCAGTGGGGAGACTGAGGCTCAGGGCCCGTCCATACCGTGCTGGGTTGGACTGGGGACCGAGGCTGTCCTGCTCTGAGACCCCGAGTGCCACGCTGTGGGCTGGTGCAGGACTGCCGGCCGGCAGGGCCAGTTCCTGAGCAGGCCAGCCCGGCGGCCCCAGAGCCGTCCCTTGGGGCAGAAAGAAGGGGGCACTTCTTTCTGTGGATGCACACAGCAGGCTCAGCCCCGTGGGGCGCTGGGGTGCATGTGACCCCCCCACGGGCAAAGACCACAGACCCAGCAGCCATCTCAGCTCTGCTGTGGCCCCGGGCGCGGAGTGACCACGGAGGCTTCCGGTCCCCCAGCGAGCAGACAGACCGAGGGCCAGTGAGGAGGCCGGAGCCACAGCAGGGAAGGGGCGGGGAGCACATGCCAGGGCCCTTCCCGTGGCCCGGCCCCCATGCCATCCTTCTGGCCCCATGCGTGTGCGTGGTGCTGAGGCTCACACCTCGTCCCGTGTAGCTCTGCTCTTGGGGGTGGAGGGGCTGTTCTGCGAGACCCTGGAAATGGGTCACCCTCATGGCATGCCGTGGCCAGTGCAGGAGACCGGCGCAGCCACGCTGGGAATGCTGGGGGGAGGGGCAGGCATGGCTTCGGCTCCTGAAGGCAGAGGGGTAGAGGGGTCCTGCACGCCACGCAGCAGAGGACACGCCACTGTCCCCCGGGCTGCTGTAAAGAGCCGGGGTCCTCTGAGCATCCCCAGCCAGGCCCTGGGGGGCTGGTGGGAGGGAGCCCCTCCTCACGTGGCCCTGGGGCGCCTCCCACACCCAGTGCCCCGGGCCCCCGACAGAAGATGCAACTGATAGTCCCTAATCCAGTCTCAGAACATACTACCGCGTTTCCCCGAAAATCAGACCTACCCATAAAATAAGCCCTAGCAGGATGTCTAAGCATTTGCGCAATAGAAGCCCTACCCCGAAAATAAGACCTAGTGACGGGC